TGTCAGGAATCTGGGAGCAGCTTAGTTGGTTGGTTCTGGCTTAAGATCTCTCATGAGGTTTCAGGCAAGCTGTTAGCTGGGGCTACAGTCAGCTGAAAGCTTGTCTGGGGCTGGAGGATCCATTCCAAGATGGCTCACTCTTATGCCTGTTGGCAGGAAGCCTCTGCTCATCACCACATGGTGCTGACTTCTCACAAAGCAACTGATCCAGGACAGAGAAAGAACAAGTGGAAATCTGCTGCCTTTTATCACCAAGACTCTGAAACCATGCACTATCATTCCTGCTTTATTCTATTCTTTAGAAGCAAGTCACAAAAATCCAGCACACACTCATGTGGAGGAGAATTAGGATTTTTAAGAAAAGATTTATTTATTTATTTATTTATTCATTCATTCATTCATTCATTCATCAATCAAAGAATATGCAGGTATTTTTTTAAATTTATTTTTAAAAGATTTTATTTAGGGCCTCCCCGGTGGCGCAGCAGGTTGAGTGCTGCGCTGTGAAGCTGTCCACAGCCTCTGCAGCACGGGTTCGATTCCTGGCTGGCCAGGGAGAAACCCACATGGTGCAGCAGACCTCTCCTGCCTCCCCCGTTGCTCCCCTCAGCAGTGTCTTCAGTCGTCTGCCTGTTCTGCTCCCTCTCTGTCTCTGGTGAATTCTCTTACTCTCCTGCACCTCTGACCTGTATCCCAGTTCTTGTATAAGTAAAAATAAATTAAAAAAAAAAGAAAAAGATTTTATTTATTTTTGCATAGAAGAACTGGGGTGTAGGCCAGAGGTACAGGGAGGCAGGGAGAGAGGATTCACCAGAGACAGAGTGGGGAGCAGAACAGGTGGATCTACTGAAACTCACTGCTGAGGGGAGCAGCAGGCAAGACAGGAGAGGTCTGCTGTACCATGTGGATCAGCTCCCTGGCCGGGATCGAAAGGATATTTTGGTGTGCTAAACAAAACCGTCAGCGGTAACTTAGCAGCATGACTAACTTAGCCATTGCTGTCAGTTACTGTAAGACAAGTATCAGTACTATTACAGGGCAGGGAGAGGGATACCCCAGAACCCTCAAACTTGCCTGCTCTAAATAGGTTCTGCCATCTGCTACATCAACACAAAACATTTAAGATCTTTAATGGAAAGGAACTTCAATAAAATTAGTGTGGAATACAGAAAAGGCAAAGATTATAGTTTCCAAATCAAGTACTCAAAATTATCCATCCCCTTATGGGTAAATGTCAAGCCAAACAGGGTTGGCCCAAAGCAAGGCCCGAAAGCCTGCCAAAGTCTGAAGTACCTTCCAGTGGGGACCCATTGAAAAAAAAGGGTCAGAAACAGATAGACACATCTGGAAGGAAAAGAGCAAAATCAAAATTGAAATAAATGCTGCCTCCACACGGGTATGTCACCCACATTGGTTTCAACCAGCCCAGGACCAAGAAGCAAGCACAGTTTTTTCACATTTCCCTCTGCTCCATGTGCCTCCTCTGGGTCTCCCTCTTGCTGGCCATCCTGCTTCCTCCTTTTTGGACTCTTCAGCTTCTTCTCCTCCCTGCTCAGCTTAACACTCCCTTGGGTTCTGGGTTCCCTGGAACCTGGAACCTCCCCTTTTCCTGGGGACCACCCTGTTACAATATCTTCACAGTATTTTTTTTTAAGATTTATTTATTTATGCATATAAGAACGGGGGTACAGGCCAGAGCGAGGATCCACCAGAGACAGAATGGGGAACAGAACAGATGGATCCACTGAAATACACTGCTGAGGGGAGCAGTGGGCAAGTCAGGAGAGGTGTGCTGCACCACGGGGGGTGCTCCCTGGCCGGGGATCGAACTTGTGCTGCAGTGGCTGTGGTTAGCTTCATAGGTTGCGTCTTAACCCCTTGCACCACCAGGGAGGCCCCACCTTCATAGTATTTTTTATATTTTCTAAATTTTTAGGTTTTGTATTTCAACGCTTTGTATGTTTAAAAAAATGAAAAAGCCGTACAGATGTTTTAGTGCATATTGCATAGAAAGCACAATCCTTTTTCACTTTCACAGATTTTACTCAAAAAATATTCTCTAAAGTCAATGAGCCCCATGTTGTTAATGTAATAGACATTTTCTCTTAGACTGCAAAGAGAAATTTTTAATACTATTGTCCAATTCTTCCTTCCTGAATTCTCTTCTAGTTTCTATGACACTGCACTATCCCAGGTCTCTACTTCTCTAGTTACTTCTCTGTCTCATTTGCAATTTCACCTTTTTCTAATCAACCACCAGATGATGAAGTTGCTCAAGGCTTGATCCTAAGCCTTCTCTTCTTATTTTATATGCATTTCTCTATCTATTCATAGCTTTAATTCCCATCTAAATGACTCTGAATGTGTCAAGAGAAAGGATATTTTTGATGTGCTAAACAAAACCCTTGGAGGTAAGTTGGCAGCATAACTTATTTAGCCATTCTGTCAGTTACCTTCTGATAAGTATCAGTCCCTTCCCAGGGATTGTTATTGGGCGTTATTATAGCAAAGGGTTTTATTTTAGCCTTGATTAAATTAAAATATGCAAAAGGGTTTTATATACTTCTTATTTAAGAGAACACATCAGATCAGATATACTTTTTTATCAGTTCTTTTTCTATTTATTTTTAAAAGATTTATTTATACAAGAACTGGGGTATAGGCCAGAGGTGCAGGGGGTGAGAAGATTCACCAGAGACAGAGTGGGGAGCAGAACAGGCAGAGGGACCAAAGACACTGCTGAGGGGAGCAGCGGGTGAGCCTGGAGAGGTCTGCCGCGTCATGTGGGTTGCTCCCTGGCTGGCCGGGAATTGAACCTATGCTGCAGAGGCTGTGGACAGCTTCACAGCGCTGCCCTCAATCCGCTGCACCACTGGGGAGGTCCAGTTTTGTTTTGTTTTTTTAAAAGATTTATTTTATTTATTTATGCATACAAGAGCTGGAGTATGGGCCAGAGAGGATTCACCAGAGACAGAGTGGGGAGCAGAACAGGCGGGATCTACTGAAATACACTGCTGAGGGGAGCAGCAGGTGAGACATGCACCATGTGGGTCATCTCCCTGGCTGGGGATGGAACTCATGCTGCACTGGCTGCAGATAGCTTCACAGTGCTGTGCTTAACCCTTTGTGCCACCAGGGAGGCCCCTACTTTTTGTTGCAAGAAGTAGTCATAGGAGTTTGGTTTTTTACCCTCACCTTCCCAATTTTATCTGAAGTTTATCAATTAAACTCCAGCTTAATTTTTGTCTAGATATCTTCTTAACATTTTGTACTAGCCAGGGTTCTTAGCTGCAGAGTGACTGTTCTTAGCTGATATAAGAAGATGTGAATGTATTAAAATTAAGAGAATTACCAGAAGAGAGACACACCACGGTTGGAGCTGATGTTAAACAGGCAGAAACAATAGCCAAAGTCATACCACAGAACTGGCCTGGTAGGAGACCAGCACTGCCCTGGGCAGAGACATGGTAGCTGGCACTACAGTAGCACTAGCCACCAGCAGCCCTGCCTCCATGGCACCAGGCTATTATTTTGCTGTAACTGTTACCACTGCCAGAAAAGATTCTCTCAGATCCCTGTTTTTTGGTGTGGGAGCTCTCTCTTCAAAGCCCTGGCACGTGGTAGTGATTATCAAAGTGGAGACCATGGCCATTGTCCTAGCTGCAAGAGACTGTGTAAAATCTCAGATGCTATTGCTGAAGGCAAATTCTATCTCCCACCAATTAAGCATAAGGAAAGGAACTCTCCAAATATACAAATAAGTTCCGGAAGCAAGGAAGGGAAAGGTAAGGGGAAAAAACCAAACTCCTGTGACTTCTTTCTTGCAACAAGTAGTGTATCTCTGATCTGATGTGTTTTCTTGAATAAGAAGTCTGTAAAACTCTTGGATATTTTAATTTAACCAGGGATAAAATAAAACCCTTTGCTGTAACAATGCCCAGGTCTTTCTGAGAGAATCTCTTTTTCATTTTTTCTCCCCTCGAGGTTTTATTTATTTATTTATATTTTACATCATTGTTCATTTTTGTACAATGTATGCTTGAATGTTTTCTCCTAGTCAGGTGTATGCCGCGTAAAATTCCCACCACCAATCTGAGCCACCAGAGAATCTTAATGAGGATACTAACAGCGTAGCTTGAGTACATTCAATACTCCTGACACCTAATGATTTCCAAACGTGTCAACATTTAGCTGTTTGGAATGTGAGGAAATACAACAAAATAGAAAAACACCTCTAGAGCAATACAGAAGTGTTACTGATAGTTCTGAACATTTTTATTCTTCTCATAGAGTATGAGCTCCAAAATGCATAGCCAATTATTGATGAAATCAAAGTAATAAACTGTCCAATACGACTGATTATGACATAGGAGAGAAATCCATTTTAAAAAGTGGTTTGAAAATTTAAGATTCCTTTTCTGTTTTACCATGCAATATTACTTTTCATACCTGATCCCAGCCTAAGGAATCAGAAAACTAAGTTATAGAACTAATGCTTTAACTGGAAATCCAATGATTTACGATTTTAGCAAATAGATAGAACCTGAGGTTTGTACTCTATCAGCAACATGAATCCATAAGGCTTGATAGACGGTGGATTTTGGATTTGAAAACACAGAACCTGATACTTTCACTCATTTTATATTTAAACCTTTATTTTCTAAACTCAGCCTCTGAGTTTTCCTCTTCAAATAAACTGCTCGTGACCTGGCTCAGGAAAGGTTACCCCGGAGTAAAACAAGCGCTTCAATAAGGGGGAAAATTCTGTGGCAATCTCTGACACCGGCCGTTGCTAAACTTAAGTACAATAATGTCACATGCACTCACACAGTAATTGTGGGCACGCCTAAGTCCCTCCCTCTTTCCTAAACCAAATTCCCCAGATCCTAGAAATCCAGCCCTTCTGCCCTCCGGAGGCGCCTTTCCCAACGTAAAGTACAATTTTAAATTTAAGCTCCTGCCCAAATAATGATTCCGTAGCCAGCGACCGGGGAGCCTGGGCGCCCGGTACCCCCGGAGGGTGCTGCGGGCGTCGGCAGGGCCGGGGGAGTGGGCGAAGCTGCTGGTTGGTGCCTGAAATCTGTGCGTTGCCCCTTTAATTGTGTCCCCAGCCCTCGGGCGTTTCTGTCCAACGCCCACGTCAGCAAATACCTTTTGTTTCTCTCACGTTGGGGCTACTTGTTTTAGGGCGCAAAGGAGCGGCTTCGAGAGGGGCCCTTCTCCCCCCGGGAACCCGGACTCGGCCCCGGCCCGCCGCGGCCCGCGGTAAGTGGCTGCGCGCGGGCGGGCGGCGGCGGGCGGGGCGTCGGGGCTGCCCGGGACGGGCCCGCCAGGCTGGCGACGGGCGGCGGGCGGCGGGGCGGGCGGGGGTGCCCGGCTCCGGCCGCGCGGGGTCGGCGGCCGCGGCGGCGGGATGCGGCCCGGGGCGCGGCGCCCGCAGACGCCCCCGGCCCGGGCGAGCGCGGGAGGCGCAGCGGCGAGCGGGCGCCATTTGCAGCCGCGGGCGCAGCGGCGGCGGCGCCGGCTCCGAGGGGCTGGAGGCGGCCACAAAGGCGGCGCGGGCCGCGGGCGGCGGCCCCGGCGGGCGCGGGGCGCGGGGCGCGGGGGCGGCGGGCGGCGCCGGGGCGCACCGGCTCCTGGAGCCCGCGCCGCCCCTCCCGCGCCCGCGCCCGCCGCCCGCGGGGCCGGCCCCTCCGGCGCGCCCGGGAGGGGCTGCGGGACAATGGCCGCGCCGTCGCCGCCCGCGCCCGCCGAGCCCCGCGCCCGCCCGGCCGCCCGCCCTCCCGCCCCGGCTCGGCTCGGCCCGGCCCGGCCCGGCGCGGGGAAGGCGGGAAGGCGCGGAGCCTCCTGGCGGCGGCGGGAAGCCCGCGCGGGGCCGGGGCCGGGCGTGTCTGGAGCCGTCGGGCGCCGGCTCTCCCGAGGGGCGGCGGCCGGCGGGCTCGGGCTGCGCGCGGGAGGCGGGCGGTCAGCCCGCAGGGCCCGCCGGGGACCCGCGCGTCGGGGCCCCTGGGTGCCCCCGCGGCGCCGGGCGCTTCCTTGGGGAGGTGGCTCCCGGGCCAGCAGCCCGACTTCTCCGTTCATCCCGAAGCCTTTAGCCCTGTATCATCATGCGACAGACTGGGTTGAGAGCCGGAGACGGACTTTCTGCATCACACAGATATTGAGCCTTAATTGTTTTATGACGGAATCATAAAACATGACGGTAGAATGCGCCTCTGCTACCTACCCGGGCTGCCGCTCTTGTAAGTTAGCGGTTTGGTCCCTTCCTCCTTCAGAGGCGCAGATTTTTGGCCGATTGTGCCAGCAGCCCCACTCCACGTCTTTGGAAGAACTGATTTTTCTTCTTTTCTTTTAAATTGAGATATAACTGACATACAACATTGCACTAGTTTTAATCTGAGACTTGTTTGGAAGCGGTAGATTTCCACCTAGTGGGCTTTAACGACACAAATCAGTATTCTCTCAATAAAGGTTTATCTTTGCAAAACTTTATTTAGAAAATGGAGTGCTTCATCTATAAGAATTATTTCGCTTAATTTTGCATAAAACAACCACTCGGTCAGGCCGATGGTTATTTTACGCTCCAGAAGAGGAAATGCTCAGTTAAGCACCCTAAGCCAACGGTGGATGGTGGCAGTCTCCCAACGCCTTCGCCAACTGGTCTTGCTCTCCATTCCTGCCCAAAGGCATGGCCAGAGTCGTATGGAAAGCAAGGCTGTAACTGATCTTTATCAGGAAAAAAAGAAGTCCAAAATTGCCCACTGAAGAAGCTAGGTCCAAACTTCCTTTCCAGTTTTATATTCCCCCAAGCCTCAGGTTTGGGTGGATTTGTGGGACCCCTGCAGCAAGAGCCCTTCACTCCTGGAAACCTCTGACTACCTACCCTAGTGTAAAGGAAAATGAGACTCTACCATGGCCAAATGGACAGTGTGGGTTAGGCTCTAAAATGTCAGTAGGAGATATCTGTGTACCTGAGCACCTTTCCAGGTATGTAGATTTCTGACCTCATGAAGGAGGGCACCCTGCCAGTCCTTATCTCATGGCCTTGAAATCATTAGCTTTGCTGTTGACAATTTGAGTCCAAAAAAAACTTTGTAAGGTGGGACTAACACTTGGCTTATCCTATATCATTTCAATTTTATTTTCTAGATAAAACAACTTCTTTAGACTTAACCTTTTCAGTGACATGTTTATAATATTTAAAGAATTTGGTGTAAGTTTTGAGATTCCCTTGAGGGAAGTTTTTGCCACATTGCCCAAAATCAGTGATTCTCCGTCTTCAGTGGCTCACCCCCATCTTACTCAGATTAAAACCAAAGGCTCCCTAGGGACAGCCCCATGATGTCCTACCCTGTCATAATCTGCCTTCCTTTCTGACTCCATCTCTCATTGCTCTCCCTCCTTGATGTTTTCCTAGACTCTTTTGCCTGTTTTACCACAGGGCCTTTGCACTTGCTGTTCCATTTGTCTGGAACATACTCTTCCCCCAGATTCTCACAAGACTTTCTCACCTCCTTTGGAACTTTACTTAAATGCTATCTTCTCAATGAAATGTTCGCAGTTTGGGTTTGAATCTCTTAGTCATTTTTAGATTTACTTCTAGGTATTTCCAGGATTAAAAGCTGTTTATCCAGGGCCTCCCTGGTGACACAGGGGTTAAAGTTTCAGCACTATCAAGTTATCACCAGCCCCTGCAGTATGAGTACGATCCCCAGTCAGGGAGCTAACCTAAATGGCACAGCAGACCTCTCCTGTCTTGCCCTGCTGCCCCTCTCAGCAGTGTATTTCAGTAGATTCACCTGTTCTGCTCCCTACTCTCTCTGATGAATCCTCTCACCCCACCTACCTCTGGCCTACATCCAGTTCTTGTATGCACAAATAAATAAGAATAAATCTTTTTTTAAAAAAGCTGTTTATCCACCAAAAAATACAGTTGTTATGCTAGTTAGCTGAAGTTCCTTATGACTGGATTTTTACTAAAGTGCCTAATGAGATTTGGTTTTGTGACTCTGATGGAATAGACCAAATTCTACATTATTGGCTATCTATCTTAAAAGAGAGGATCCTCTAATCCACAATCTTAATTCAAGTTGCGCTTGCTAGGCAAACCTTCTGTCTACTGACATGTCTTTTCCTTCAGTTCCAAAGAACTTTGAACTTAATGGTACCTAAAATATTTAGTTACCTTTTCCATACACTTTTAAAGACCTTCAATTTGATGAGAATGTTGAATTTTTTTATATTTGCAAGGCTATTACAGATATTTAATTCTTACAGATATTAGAAATGTTTCCAATTGAATTTTGGATGTCCCACATGAATTAGTATAAGTTTCATTTCAATTTATAAGGTCAGTCTACTGAAAGAAGAAAATTTGAAACCTGTTGCAGGTACTTCTTCCCATCCCCCCACCTTTTTGAAAGTTAGATAACGTTATGTCACTTCACTTTTATGAAAGACCTACACTAGTCCCTGTTTTTGCTAAACAAAGGAAATTCAAAGAGGGTTTTGCTTTTACAACAGGTGAAGAGTGAAAATAGCATTCAGTATTTGTTCTACAGCAGCCATAGTGTAGGCAACATGTACCCTGAATAGCAAGTGACACTGCCAACCTTCTCCCCCAGGAATGACTTTATACAGGCTGTGTTCATCATATCATTCCTGCTTTTACTATATGTTAGTGTTCTTTTAGGTTTTATGTATTATTTGGTGTGGCTTGCTAGGTTATTTTTGGGATTTGTGAATGTTCAAATTTTTTTCTACATAAATTAGTGGTAATTGCTTCTTTTTTTTTTAAATATGCTTTTAACTATTTTATTTATTTATACACGCACTGGGTACAGTCAGAAGCACGGGAGGGTGAGAGAATTCACCAGAGCCAGAGTGGGGAGCAGAGCAGGCAGGAAGACCGAAGCACACTGCTGAGGGGAGCAGCGGGCAGCAGGAGAGGTCTGCGCGCCATGTGGGACCCTCCTCCGGAGGCCGGGGAGCAGCTGGGGATCGAACCGGCGTTGCAGAGGCTGCGGGCAGCTTCGCAACCCAGCGCTCAACCGCTGCGCCACCAGGGAGGCCCGTAATTGCTTTTTCACTTTACACCATTTCAGCTCACAGGAGTTTTCAATCGAACGCTCTACTTCTGCATAGTGGGAATCCTGTACCCATTTCCATGACTTATTCACACATTTTGACAATAACAAACATTTCTGGATGATACTGGGAACTATTATGAATGCAAGTTAGGTTAGTGTCCTATAGATATAAATGTTATTGAGTTGCAACTGAGCCCAATTTAAAGGATAGTTTCTATTTTCTTTAAAAAGTTTTTTGCTTTTGCCATTGTCTTAGTTCAGTTCTTCACCACTTCTTACTTTGACAATTGCAAAGTTAAAGGTTAATGACCTTTTAATTGAGTCTCTTTGACCCTGACTCACTGACCATGTCTCAGGTTTTCTTCTGAGTATGTAAACTGGATCATCACAATAACACCCAATGTTGTTGAGCCCTGGCTGCGTGCCAGGCACTGTGCTAGGCGTTTCATGGACGTGATGGCCAGCGGAAGAATGCATGTCTTAAGAGTGTTGGTTTTGGGTCAGTCAGCCTGACTTCAGATTTCTTCTTATGTAATTGCTCCTTGTGTAATCTTGGAAGAGAATTCTTTTAATTTTGCTGTGTCTCCGTTTCTTTATCTGTACAGTGTGGGTCATAGCAGTACTTAACCTCATAAGGCTGTCATGAATACTGAAATAAGATAGAGTGTAAAATGCTTAGTAAGCATTCAGATAGTAGCTATTTATTATTAATCAGCTATAGCTCATGAAATGCACTCTTTTAAAGTGTACAACTCAGTGTATCTTTAGTATATTCATAAAATTGTGCAACTGTTGCCACCTTCTAATTCTATTGGGTTGTTGGAAAAGTCATGTTGTATTTTTTCTCTTTTCAAGCAGAAATTCATCATGACTTTTCTGACAACCCAACAGAACATTTTCACCCCTTTGTAAAGAAACCCTATATCCATTGTTTAAAAAAATTCACTTGAATAAAGTTGAAGATCTTTTGTTCACTGCAAAGAGGTATACAAAATTATAGTCATAAAGAAAGCTAGACAAAGTTATACACCAAAGAAAAGTATTTCAGGCAAAGTCACCTTCCTCAATGGAAGACAGGGGCTCCCATGCAAGTTACTTCTTCCGTGCTGGTCAGGAATTCCACATTGATTGGCTTAAAATTCCACTTTTGGGAGAGGTTGAAAATTGGTTGGGTAT